CACCTTTTGTAAGGGGGGGGGGGGGGCAAATAAATTGTACACCGATTTTAAAACACATCTTTTATAACAAATGCCCACAAACATGTAACAAATGAAAGCAAAAGAGAACACTCTAACATGGTGTCATTAACCCAATGCTTAGCTGGAAAAGAAAATTGCTCCCTGTTTAAATGTGCCAGTCTATTGGTGTTTTTGGAGAAATAAATCTTCCTTGAATGGTTCATGTAAACTTCAATTTCCTCGCAGTGCAATTTAGACTCATAAATATTGTCAATGTTGTAATCTGCTTTGTTTGTTAAAGGGCTCCACATTAAATACATGCAGCAGCTAGAATCAACATTGAGCATCATCACCACCACCACCACCACCATCCTCCCACGGAATAAAGCTAACTCTTGCTTTAACCAATGATTCTGTTGAATTGTATGTCTGAGTGGCTTATTGTTACAACTCTGAGCTCCTGACATGTTTTTTTTGTGTGTATACTCACTTCTACTCCATTGCCTGGGTAGTCGCCTGCAAAGGTCAAAACACATCCTCACTACACCTGCTACCATTTAAGATAGTCCAGTGAGACGCTTTGTTCTGGGCTAGTATAAAAAGGACAATCAAAAGTACTAAATGATGGATGATGGAGGATTCACTGTACAGGAGTCTGAACCCCATGGTGTGGTGGTGTGTCTCTGTTCCCCCCATATACATCCTCTGCCCCTGGAATAGTCCCTCCTGGTGGGGTCATCCGTTTCTCTTTCTGTCTCCTGTTACAAAACCAAACTCTGACCACCTCCTTTTCTAACTGTAGACTGTCCGCCAGAGAGGTGATTTCCTGGGCAGCTGGCTTGGGACACTTGAGGAAATGACTTTCCAGCGCCCCCTTCACGCTAACCTCAATAGATGTCCTCTTTTTCCTTTTCCTCCCCTGAGCTGCTATCTTGTCTATGCTGGTGGGGCTTCCAGAGGACGAGTCCGCCTCTTCCAGCCACTTGTTCAACAAAGGCTTGAGCTTGCACATGTTCTTAAAGCTGAGTTGCAGGGCCTCAAACCTGCAGATGGTGGTCTGGGAGAAAACGTTGCCATACAGAGTGCCGAGGGCCAGTCCTACGTCGGCCTGTGTAAATCCCAGTTTGATCCTCCTCTGCTTGAACTGCTTGGCAAACTGTTCCAGGTCGTCGGACGTCGGGGTGTCCTCGTCGGAGTGCTCGTGGTGTCCCTGGTGCTGAGAGTGCTGCTGCTCATGCTGCTGCTGCTGTTGCTGGGGAGGCTGTTGGTGGCCGTGGTCGCCGTGATGGTCCTCATGGGCGTCCCTCAGGCCGTGGTGGTGCATTCCTTGCCCGGATGCCGGGTTGATCATGCCATTGACCGTGAAGGATGGCTGGGAGTAGATGAGTCCCTGGCCGTTGGTGGAAGCCATGCTGGGCAGGTGGGCTGAGGTGGTGGTCCTCCATGCCCCGGCACTGTGGTGGTTCCCATGAGCTGGGTGGACCAGATGAGGAGCTCTAGCCTGGTGCTGGAGGTGATCATCCCTGCTGGGCTGCACGGTGGGCTTGATATCCTGCTGGCCCAGTGGACTGGTGGACCAGGGCGCTCCATCCCCGTGAGACAGAGCCGTGATCCACTGGTGTGCGTGGCTGAGAGGGTGCCCGTTGCTCTGCAGCGTGTAGTCGCTCTGTACCAGAGTCTGTGCATCCCTGTATGCCGAAGCCTGCTGCATGCCACCGGGCTCGGCGTGCACGATGGACGAGCCGGAGCTCAGCAGGTTGTAGTGGTTAGACGCTGTGGTCGCCATGACTCTCCGAGCCCGACTGATAGCACTGGTTAAAGGAGCCGTGCATTTGACAGCTCCTTCCCCTCGCCCCAGGCGCCCCTCTCTCTCTCTCTCTCTCTCTCTCTCTCTCTCCCTCTCTTTCTCTCTCTTAAGCAACGGGAGGCAGCCGGGCGCGCCTATTGGCCGAGCGGCTCCCTGGCTCCGCCCAGCCTTCATCCCAGGCTGCAGGCTGCTGCATCCACATGGAAGAAGAGCAATAAGAGAGGTGCTTTGTACATCACATAAGCCTGGGCGGCCTGCAAAGTAAAACAATTACATGGAAAGTTTGCTTTGTCTCCTCTGTCAGGATCTCCAACTGTTACCTGGCTGCCAGGCATTTGTATGCACAACTCCCGGTATGTCCCCTCTTTATTCTCTTTGCTGAAACTTTAAAATAAAATCTAGGCAGTTGCTGGTGTGTTGTGGTGCACAGGCAACCTTTGATCACAGCCAGATGGGTCGCCCTGGAGACATCACGCTCCTCCATCTCTCTCCCACCCCCCCCCACAATCACTTCATAACGATTATAAAGATTTGACTTTCAGATTAGCTGTTGTCAGTTGGCCGATGTCATTATGCAATTGCACTGCGACAAGTGAACAACGATGATGTCACTGTAATGAAGTGAAATGTCATTAGCAGAGCCCATCCATGGATCCAGGCTGACATAGGAAGCTGCTGCTGGTGCTGATGCTGATGCTGCTCTAAGTGCTACCGAAAGGATGGGATAAGTCGTGCTCCCAGCAGGTGACCGCATGTAAGCATTGAAGACTAGCTGCGTGTGAGAGAGGTCACCGGAGGGGTTACCCCACACTAATATCCTCATGTCGGCTCAATCAATGGTGCAGTTTTCACTTAGGTGTAAAACACATCCATCCTTCGGTGCTTGTTGCCTGTCTGTGTGTCCGTCTGTGTGCCTGTGTGTACTTTGATGTTGATAACAAATGATATACAGCGCTCCCTGCTCCCGGTGCATGACTAACTACCATCATCCCATCGGAGCTGCTTGTAATTATGTGTTTATTTCTGTATCGATCCGTGCAGTACACACTGCCATTATGTGTTCCTATACCTAGATTAGTTATTGGCAATGTTGTGTGCCCACACTGCCTGCCTTAATTGCTTCAGGGCAGCGCAAAGAGCAGTGATGCTGGCGGTAACCCATAGCAACAGGATGCAGCCTAAACGCAGGTGGCTATGGGCTACGGATTGGTACTTGCTGAATGGGCTCCCGGGTCCTCAGCAATCCTGTTCTGTGTATTACAATGCAGGCGATAGAAAGCCATGTCATCCATCCATCGTATAGCTAATGAGCCAAGGTCAGATCATGCAAAATGGATAATTGTTTTATATGTATAACGATTGATTTTAATTGATGGAAGCGCACGCGATCCCTTTCTAAGCCGACCTAAGAGTTGTCAGACTTTTGCAAGTGGCTCATCTGGAATTCTTCATAGAACTTTATCCTGTTGGAGAACATCATTGCATATCATCAAGGGATGGGTTTTGTATATGAAGAACTAATGTATTAAACTCTTAAACAGTGTTATTCACTAAAGGGTGAAGAGTTTGGAGAAGGCAGGATAAGTGAACAATCTAGGACAACATTTGGAAAAATTCTCCAATTCAGCTCACTTTCCAGTTCAGCTATGTTGTCCTAGATTGTCCTCTTCTCCTGCCTCCTCCAAACTTCACGCTTTTGTGAATAACACTGAAAATGTTAGGGGGGCTAACTTTGACTCTATAGACATCTACAGCAAAACTAAGCGTAAGTTACTTTTCTTTCACCGATTAGTTATTGCTTCATTGTAGCTGCATTGTATCATCGTCTTGTGTTTGTTCTCAATACTAAGTATACATGATAGTAAATGATAGCACATAGACGTGTTTCCTTACACGAGTATCTATGGCCAGCAGCTATCATTCCCAATACTTTCTAGCGCCCTTACAGCTGTGATACATAATTGTCGGCATTCAGGACAGCAGTAATACTGCACTGCTAATAGCCCCGGGAGGAAAGAGTTAAATGCAAGGCAGCCTCTAATCACTAATAGGTAAAGTACAATCACTGTGTCAGATAACATCAAGCAGAAGACTGTCAGGGGACTATATCAATATCCTGCCTATTGAATGGAGTACAGTGCTGGCGGTGCACTGCATTGACTGCATACACTGCACTGTACATCTGCTTTCCAGGCACCGCTCAGTGTGTTCTACATCCACTCTACAGCATTCTAACAAATGGGTCTTGGGATAAGAGCTTCTGCTTTTCATGTACAGTACCTGATAGGACACAGTATTTTACACTTGTTCCTTGTATTCTGACACTCGCTGCATGGGTCACATTATATTAGTTCACAAACTGAAAAAGAAGTCTAAAAAGAGTTGCAGAACCTTAATAATACATCCAGAAAGAAGGTGATTTGTAGCAAAGTGTTGATTGACAAACGACTGACACACAGAGGATACTTTCTAGCACCCTTTAGTGCTTTCTGAAGTGCTAAAATGTAGCATAGATAGATATGGATTGGTGGATAGATAGATAGATAGATAGATAGATAGATAAATAGACAGATGATAGCTAGATTGATTAATAGATAGATATATGATAAACAGATAGATAGATTAATAGATAGATAGATAGATAGAATGATAGATAGATTGATAAATATATAGATTAATGATAGATGGACAGATGATAGATAGATTGATAAATATATAGATTAATGATAGATAGATTGACAGATAGATTAAATAGATAGATAGGTAGATTGATAGATACGATAGATAGATAGATAGATAGAGAGACAGACAGTCAGTCAGTATCTGGACTGTTGGCATAGAGTGATCTGGATACTATACAGGTTGTAACATTTTATCCTCAGCTTATTATGCAGACTCTTCCCAAGTTCCCAGGCAGCGGATTTAGAAGTGATCCCACACAGTGCTGTTTCTTTTCGAGGTCCTGTATCACGGGGGGATTCAGATGAAGTGAATGTAAATGAGGTTTCAGTGAGAGAAGTCCTAGGGGGTGAATGACAAAGTGCACGGTGCGCTATTAGCAGCTCTAGAGATCCAGGCTCCTCTCATGTCTGTGCAAGGTGAAGGCGATGCTGTGTCTGGGATACACACTGCAGAGCTGGGTTCAGCTATTCCATTCTTCAAAGCAGCTGTACAAATACCAGGGCTGTGCTCCATTTCAAATATCCCAGATTTCAAACGGCTCCTTCAAAGCTTTCAACTAGTGCATTATGCCTCCTAACTAGCCCCGTATTTGTCACATACTAATACCAGGGCAGGCACATGCCTCCGTCTATATCATTTCTGGATTAGGTGTACTTTTTACCAAACCTGCACTGAGCTCACCTGTCATGCCTTTCTTCATCACCCGAATAGCAGAACTGATCAATGCAAAGCATCCTGGGCTTATAGATCAGAAAATGCTGCACAACATCAGTTCATGTTAAATATAGGCAGCTAGTCTATCTATCTATCTATCTATCTATCTATCTATCTATCTATCTATCTATCTATCTATCTAGTATTATTATTATTATTATTATCATCATCTATTCATTATCTATCTATCTATCTATCTATCTATCTATCTATCTAGTATTAATATTATTATTATCTATTCATCATTATCGATCTATCTATCTATCCATCATTATCTATCTATGTATTGTTATTATTATTGCTATTATTATTAATAATAATCCATCTTTATCTTTCTCTATCTATCTATCTATCTATCTATCTATCTATCTATCTATCTATCTATCTATCTACTAATTTTTAGTTATGATACAATGTGCGTATGGTATTGGTAACAAATATTTCAACATAGTGGCATTGTCTGTATAGGCATTTTCTTTTACATTTGTATTTTGTAACTTAGCACTTTAAAGTCTGGGTAAAAATTTCCCTGCACATTGATGCTGTTGTAAATCATATTATGATAGGGCACGCGGGTTGACAGTGTACACCATTAGGTCATTGGATTTGTCCTTTTATGTCTGCAGCGCACCCTCCAGACCATTCAGCTTATATCTCATAAGATCACCTTTGTACCCTTTCCAGATATTCTCACATAAGTTACATTGTTAGTTGCTTAACTTGACGAATATTACTGATTTAATAACACCTCAAACCCTCCCTGCAATAACACATACGTTTTGCACCCCCCATACTATTTTCTGATGTGATCTGAACTTAATTTAAAATACATAATACATATAATATATAATACAATATATATGTCTAGTTTGAATTTAATACTTTGTTAGAATCACAAAAAAAACCATTTTATTGAGCAAATTAACAGGCAAATACTGCTTTTCCCAATCAGTGCCTGGCTCTTGCTTAGTTCCGATGTGTATATACATTTTAGTACGTGGACATTTCAATATTTACTTGATTTGATTTTAATCATCATAGCATGCAGTCACTTTGTTTAACCAAACACTATAATGAAATAAAAAGTTTATGCACCCATCAAAAATATGTCACTATGTTTACCAATAATGGCAGCTGCCAGGGTCTCTGTGAAGATAGTAGCTGGTGGGAGCAGTTAAAACATTTGTTTTGTTCTTTGGATGTGATGAAAAACAAATAGATTGAACTGCGAGGAATAAAGTGTTTTTTTTTTTTTTCACAGAAGTTTCCATTAGTTTTGTATGTATGGTATATCCATTTTTGGTTCACTAACTCCAGATTGGTGAAGGAATGGGGTTGAGGCTTTAGTCGGTTTTTCAATGAAAATGAAGGTGTCTCTTTGTAATGCATATCACTGGACACATTTAATGTAACCATTGTGAAGAGTGAATGTTGTGGTCTCCCCCACCCTTCCCCTTTTAACCTCCTCTGTATGAGCCATTCAATGTCGCACACTCAGTGCATGTCTCCAGTCCTGTTCTTAGAAGACAAGAAGGCTGATTTGGTGCCTAAACCCAGCTTCTGAATGGGTGTTCAACTTTAAGGGCCAAAGGGACAAAACTGAGGCCCAGGCTTCACATGTGATTGCTTTAAAAAAAAAAATCCCTTCTGCACAAAGAAGCAGCTGGCTTCTCTAATGAAACAGCCAAG